TTATTAAAGTATTTCATATTCTGATTCTGATGGTTCTGTTATAAACTCTTCTGTTAAGATAGGGGTTTCCCTGCTGTGATGGAGCCTGACCTGAAGAGAAGCAACATTTATGTTTAATCCAGTTGGACCAGTTTCTAAGCAACAGGTTTGCATTTCTAAAGATGTTTGTTCTTTAACTAAACTCACATTTTGACTCCACCCAGGAAAACATTGTCTGGTTTTACAGACAATCCAGACCAAGCCGGTTCTGCTGCTACTGGACCTTAGTGAACTCTTACTGGTGACCAGAACAAGGTCCTCAGAGACGGGCTCAGACTGGACCTGCTGGAGCTTTCCTGCTTGTGATCTCAGCAACAGGAAATTCTTTGTATATTATTTCAAAAGTTTCTATTTTCTCCGCATTTTTTCGTTTTATCCCAGTTTAGGCTTAAAACGATGAAATTGCTGTTTAATGTTTCAGGAACATTGTTCTTCACTATTAACCCTCTAATGCCAAATCTATCGTATTTGATACGTTTCCTGAAATGTTTTGCCTCTGACACCTTTTGCATAATCTAATGGTAAAAACTGTTCAAAATCCTATTGTACACAATCAGATATACCTGATAACAGCCAGTAGAAGACTACACAAAAAATAATCTTGACTTATCGCATAGTAATAAATTATTATTATCAAAAATGTATTTCTGTCTTTTCTTTTTACATATTTTCTTAAAAGGCCAAATAAGGACTTCAAACCAAAACAAAGTAATTTTCTGTTTTGTTTTATTCTTGGATCGGGCTTTAAAGGGTTAAGTATTTTATTTATGTTTTTTATGCATGTTTTTGTGTTTTCATACCTTTATTTTCCAGAGTTTCAATGGTACCTGATGTTTTTATCCACCAATTATTGTTTAGATCATATAGATCCTGACAGGGTTTAAAGGTTGAATCTTTTCCACCGGACAGTACAAGAAAAGCCTTATAAATAAAGCTGAACTGACTGATTGTGGTTCTGCATCCTCTCGCTGGTTTATTAGAAGCAGGACAAATCAAACAGACACACCTTGTTCAAATGCAAACAGAACTTTATTGAAACAAAGAGAATCCATGAGCATGAAGTTACAGTATCTGACACTTTCACACATGGGGACCATAGAACCAGAATATTTAGAGAGAAGTAGAAGAACAAAATGCCACCATGAAACCAATTGGGAGGAAACTTTTTTGCTTTTCACTGAGCATGCTCAGCTCTGTTTCCATGGAGATTCACTAGTAATAGCCCAGGTATAGCGGAGTTGCAGGGAAGCATGGGCAGCCATCACCAGAGTTGAGGTTCCCCTGGAGGACTCTGACCCCAACACTCTCATACTCAGTCATGCGGTCCTGGTTGTAAATCAGAACCATGTTGCTGATTGGATTCTTGTTGGCCTCTTCTTTCTTGAACCACAGGAATACTTCGTTGCCTGTATTCCCACTGTTGAGATTTACTGAGGGGATCACTAAAGAGTAGCCCCCATTTTGATATCTCTGATACTCATCCTTGTTGGTGGAGACTTGCAGGGTGGTATAGTTCCCATCCTTGGTGGTGGAGGGAAGGTACCAGAGGAAGACTGGCCTGCCGTTAACACCTCTGTTGGTGCTTTCATCCACTCTGATGAACCCATTTTTGAAAAGTTCTTCGTCGTTTTCATAGTGGTCAGTAGTTTGCATGCTTTTGATGTAGGTCTTCTGCTCTCTCTTCACCCACAGGAAGGCGGCCTCTCCAGTTCCCCTGTTCAGGTTGCAGGCCAGCTTCTCCCAGCCAAAGGTGAACTTCCTGGCTTCATCCTTACGTGACACCTCAATGTCTGTGATGGGAACATGATTCTCTTCAGTACCATTCAAGTACCACAGGTAGACCGGGTCTCCACCTGTTCCAGTGTTGATGTTCTTTTCACACTTTGTGAACCCAGTACTTCTCAGGCCCTCTTCCATGCCCTTGGTGAAGGAAAATTGGATCCTGGTGATTCCACCGCTGGGGCCCTCTTTGTACCAGAGTTTAACTGGATGACTACATTGGGTTTTGCTCAGATCGGTTGCGCACATGTTGTATTGCTGTGCCCTGAAATAATTCTCTTCAGCTGCTGTCAGAGACACTCCAAGGGCAACGACAAAGTTGGTCATGTTTGATCTCTGCAATAGAGAAATTGAGAGGATCAGATTCTACACATCTCACAGCTGGCTGCTTTAGACTGAAGCACTAAACTAAAACTAACAGTGAGACATAACGCAGTTGCAGCTTGTCTGGAACAGAAGAAGAGGTGGAGACCTACCTGTCTGCAGATGCTGATTGGTTGGTTGAAGTCTTTTGGCTGTTGAAGGCTGCTGTACCTGAGCTCCTCACCTGGTCTTTATATACCTGCTGGGGACAGAGCTGTGGGGGGAAAGCTCCACCTCCCAGGAGACCAGTTTCCTGGAAACACCTGATGTAGATTAAAAAAATAATCGGTTGATTACCTGATCCACCCACCTGCTGCCATGAGCCAGTTCCAGAGAAACTGAAGGCTGGAGCCTTTGTGTAGTGGGAGTTTTTATGGCCTGAAGAGGTGAGACAGCGGCACAGGTGTCAGGAACATGGTCTTGGTTTAGAACCTGCTGACGATTTGGGACAGGTTAGGTTTGGAACCATCTGGTCATCCTCAGTGACAGGTTTCACTTATAACAGGAGAGATATAAATATTTGGTAGTGTTTCACATTTATAGGTACACCTAAAATAACTTAATTTAGAATAGCAGGTAAGTTTAATGCCTATCAAACATCATTTCAGAATATTCCATCAGTGTTACTCTGTTCTATTGCTCAACCCCACTGGGACTGATTCCTGTTGTGCTCCTCTTTGCTCCCTGGATTCATATTTTTATTTTTGCTTCTTTAAATCCACAGAGACTACTCGCTGCCTCTGACTCTTTGCTTTTGGGTGCGCAAAACATGACCCTTATTACAAGTTGCTAATGCTTTTGGTCCTCATTTAAGCCATTCTGGACAATTATCTGCTTTTTCCCACATTTTCAGTTGCTATTGTCATGTTGATCCAAACATTTTCTCTTGGTCTCTGTTGAAAAGTCTTGACCTTCACAACATTTAGGCAGAAGTTCATTTCATATCTTAACAGGCAATTGTTGCAGCATGTTGTCATAATGTTGGCATTTTTCTGCATATTTCAATTAAACCTGTTTTTCTAACTCTGTCTTCAATGGATGAATTGTTCCAAGATGGATCCTGATGTTCTCCAAAGTAGGTAAACATTATAGAAGCAGCTATCATACCCTATATAGCCTTATATGTGGCCTTATACTTACTTAGCAACAAAGAGTATGCAGTTGACAGGGTGTTTGAATCCTAGCAGTACATGCTGAAGGTCAAGTATGAACTATAACAAGGTTCCTAATGGCTGATTCGTACGTAATCAGATGATAAATTATTAGGTTTTGGCATAAACAGAGAACATCAGTATAAACATGCTTTCCAGTGTCAGAGCAATCTCTGGCTTTGACCAGCATACATAAGGTTTCGACAGAACATTCCGTTGTGCACGTGCATCTACGTAGAGCGATATTGAGACTATAAAAAACCTGAGATGTAATTAGAGTTGGGGGAAAACCGAGATGTCATAAGAGAATTCTACCAATGAGCTTCCACAACATGTGAAGCATCAGATCAACCAGTTATTGAAACTAGTTCAAAGGTGCATCTCTAGAACCATCAACTGGATGTAGTGTTGATAGTAGGAGCACAATGTTTCAGTTCTGCCTGCTAAAGGACAAAGATTTGGATGGGCTGAGAGAATATGTGCCAGTTTCCACCCCTCCAGCATCATCAGGCAGTGGCTTCATCAACAGGACGGAGTCCCTTTCAACTCAGTTCAATTCAAACAACTCGTTCCAGAAACATTGTTAGTGCAACTGAGAGTTAAAAAATGTCAAAGATAATTGATAAATAAAAAACACAGAAATATCTTTGGGTGCTGGCCGACAGAAGCTGAATGGCTGAGGGAATGAAGGAGTTTAATTATTGGTTGATTTTCTGTTTGGGAACAACGTAGCACCGTGGTGAATGCATTAGCATAAAGTGAGCTCTGAGAACATGGTTAGCATGGCTCGGGATGGATTTAGTTTCCTGAACGACTCCTTTGTTCCAAAAGAGCTCAGGTCTGACATCTGGACTCCTGTGATCTCACTGCACACCTTAACTCTGCTGTTCAGAACATTGTTGTCTTTGAGGGATAGTCCATGAGACCAACACACAAGAGAAAACATTAAAAGACTTGCAAGAAAACAATAGCAAAAAAGGAAACATTTTAAATACCGGCTGATAAGCTGATAGACCAGAGTAAACTGTTTACTGAACTCTTTTAACATTCTGCTCGGTGTTTTTATCAAACTTAAGGGATGAACAGAACCCAGAACCCAGATATTTGGATTAGTCCACAGTCTGGACCGCCTCACCATGGATAGAACTGAGTTAAGAGGTGGTTGGTTTTTCCTACGGTTGATAATCAATTCTTTAGTTTTAGTCAGATTGAAATCCAGAAAGTCATCATGACATCATTCAGTAAAATCAGGTAAGGCGTGGCCGTGGTCCGAATCTGCTCCCTCTGAGAGAGACAGCAGGACAGCATCATCTGAGAACTTAATAACAAAACTGTTCTCCTGTGTGGACCTGCAGCTGTCTGTGTGCATGAAGTAGAGAAGTGGAGATCAAACCCAGTCCTGAGGAGAACCAGTGCTGGAGGTTGATAGAAGTGGACATGTGTCTATTCACAAAGACTCTTGGAACTCAGTCAGTTAGAAAATGTCAAAGCAACAATAAAAGCAGATGGGTAAGTTAAAATTGATCTCTCAGTTAAAATGTGTGGCCTCATTTAGTTAAAAGCTGAAGAACCTTTAGGATATAAGATCGATGCAAGGGAGGGAGGGTCTCCTAGAATCAGAATCAAGTCTATTGCCAAGTAGGTTTGCACTTAAAAGGAATTAGACTTGGTGATGATGGTGCAGAAAAGTTAAATATATATACAGAATACAGGATCTATAGCTATATACAATATAAAACATACAATATATAGTATATAGCTATATTCTATATACCCAGTAGACTGTGCTTTAATGTAACGCAGGGGGTCTGGAGATGCTACGCTGGTGTAGCTTGTAGGTCCTGAACGGGGGAGGGAGAGAGGCAGAGCCAGTTTCATGGGGGTCTCTGGGCCTTGTTGATAAGGAAGGTAGTGGATGGGAAGAAACTGTTCTTGGGGAGTGAGATTTTGGTCCTGATGGACCGCAGCCTCCTAGATGCTCATAAATAGTATCTAGAATAAATCTTCTTGAAAATGTTTCTCCCTAAAGACGTTAGTGAAATTGTTCTGAAATTATTCAGTTGCTTAGAGCGGTTTGATTTTGGGATTGGGATTAAATTAGAAGTTTCCAAATTTTAATCTGTACATATCTGGAAAAGTGTAGTGAACAAACCGCTGGGCTATTGGACACAGTACCTGAGAGTGCATCAATATATACTGTCAGGGCCAGCTGCTTTACCTATCTTTATCTTTTTGAGAAGGCTAGTTAGTGACACTTTGCTGAGAATTCCATAAGTTATGATTTGCTACATGGGATTCCTGTGCTTTCAGATTATCAACATTATTGATAAAATCTGATCTTAGAAAACGTGCAAAAACTTCATTAAAAGCATACATTCTACAGCATTGACACTCATAACATGCTTTGTCTCACATGATTGGTAAAATGATGTCATGTGCTTCATGTCTTTCCAAGATGCTCTCTATGGGCCGTTTCCATTTACTTTCCAGGTAGATTCATTGCCTTTATTTTATCATTTTTATTTCACCTTTTTTCTTGTATAAGTTACGTAGAAGGATTGCTCTTTTTTCATTTAAGGATAAAGTAAAGCTCCTTGGTCGCCCATGGCTTATTATTAGGGAATATGTCCAGTTCTTTTGTTGGAATAGTTGAATCAACATGGAATGGGATGTGAATGTCAAGGAGATGGCAGTGTGACTCTGTGGGGGCCTTTACTGAGGACCTTCATTGACTCCATTTCTGACCCCTTCTATAACCTAACCCCCCCCTCGGTTAGTTTTGATCAGAGAGACAGTCTGAGGGAAGAAACCGTCTCTGTTTTATCAGGAGCTGAAGCTAAACGTTGAAACTGTTTGTGTCTCAGAAGCTGAAGCATCTAAAAGCTGCAGGACAGCAGCTCTGAAGGACTGGAGCTGGAGACCCCTGGTCCTCTGAAGCTGTGGTCTATGAGTTTCTACGAAGTCTGATTATCTGACAGATCTGAGAGGTGTGAAAACAGACAGCTTCTAGGACTTATTCCAGGTAGAAACTCCGAGGGTGAGAAAGGAGTGGGTGGGGGATTGCTTCTGTAGAATATTTAGTCAGGAATGTCGTCGTTAGAGAACCACACCTCAGAGAAAAACGCAGAGCAGAGCAGAAATCTGGTTTCTTCTCCCACATATTGATGATCTGGTTGATGATGTTTCTTCCTTATTGCATTAGAAGATAAGAAGATGGACAGATTGTTCTGCTGCAGTAATTTAGAAGAATTTCACTTAGAAATGATCAAATAATCAAACTTTCCTTCAAAGTCTCCATTCTAACTATCTTTCCTAAAAGGCCAAATAATATTTGTTCGTTTGAATATTTCCTTCAAACATTAGAGTCAGAAATGATGGGAGGTCTTTTAATTGTCACCATCTTGTTTCACAGCATAAGAAAGTGTGTGATTA